GGTTTCGGGGTTCGGTGTTAGGAGTAGGCGTAGGGCGACTCCCTAGACTCGTTAGTGGATAGGCGAGGTCGGTCGGCATATTAGATAGTATAGGGTACGTTCCGGCTATACCGGGCTCGTACCCAGGGTAGTACTGTTCCGGCAGTACCCCGGGGAATAGACCTTCTCAGCCTAACTCGTCGGTCGGTGATCGTAGGACAAAAAGTGGTCGAAGAGGTTGTGTATATTATATACGCATATAGAGGTCTGTATTGGAATAATATGTGCGGGCAGCGTTACATTGCGTTGGGTCGGGTTAGCCAGTGCCCACGGCGCGCAGCTGGGCTCCGGCAAGCGATTGTTTCGTCGTCCGGTAGTGAGAAGACACCCTGTGCGTGATACGCGCGCAGCTGCGGGTTTAACCAATGAGCAGCCGCGTTGCCGTATCGATGCCCTATAATATTCCGCTGTGGGGTGATACCTGTTCGGACAGGTGACTATGCATTTATCAGCAGCTGTTGGCCACCCCTTGCCCTACCCGTTTGCATCATCTCTGCTCATGACGCAGTAACAATTCTCGTCTTACACATTGCAGTTACTAGACATGAAACTCGACAATGAACTTGTCGACAATAAATAGCTAACGCGCCATCTCATTTCCGTTATATATAACTTTGCGTGCATAACAACTAAGTGCCAAATGTCATTGACGTGCGTCACTGAAAATATTATTTTCTATCTGATAAAAATGCGCTGCTAATCACTTATATATGCTCATGACTGCACTAGAGCCAACGTTAGAAGAACAGACAGTGATAGCCGCGAAATTTCTGACTCGAAATATCTAGCATAGCCCGGCCCCCGCGCCTATGCGCACGCGCACTTCAGCCGTGCGTCCAACCCGACTAATCACACTTCCGTCTTGTGTGCGAAATTTCTGACTGCTCCCGAAAATATATGATATTAGATGGTATGGCGCATGCGCACTTCGGATCAGTCAATGCTCCAATATGGGCGAGTATTCTGTTCCAGTACTTTGATACACCAGCTGATGATTGGAGAAGGGCAGATGGACGGTATTGCGAGCGGTAGAAAAGCGATTCAGCCATGGGAGGGTGATTGCGGAGGAGAAGAGGAGAGGAGTCGGAGAAAGAGAAAGTGGGTGCGTTGGTGGAGGAAGAAGGAGGATCCGGGGAGTGGAAAGCTTGTGGAGAAAGGAGGAGGAGGGTGAGAGAAGCTGGGGGTGGGGAAGAAAGCAGAAGGGCAGAAAGAGGGAGGGGTGGAGAAGCTGGTGGAAGGAGAAGGGGGGAAAGGAGGAGCTGAGAGAGAGCTGGCGTAAGGAAGGAGAGAGGGGGAGAAGGGTAGAAGCTGTGGAGGAGATAAGAAAAGACGGAGGAGGGGGGAGATGTGGCTGGTGAGAATGAGGAAGGGAGAAGGGAGAAGTGGTGGAGAAGGAAGGGGGAGAAGGAGAATCGTGCCCAACCAGCCACCCCTGTACCATCAATGAAATGCCGCCGCAGCACCGCTGGCTCCTTTCTCCCCTCCTCCTTCTCTCACCACCTTCTCCCGTCTCCCATCCGCCTATCTCACCAGCCTCTTCCACCTCCTGCTGCCCTCTCTTCCGTTTCCCCTCTCCTTCTTCTCCACCAGCTTCTCACCCTCCTCGGGGGCTCCACCAGCTGGCTCCCCTCCTCCTTCTCCACCAGCTTCTCCTTCTCCCCCTGCCTCCTGGCTCCACCAGCTTTTCCCTCTCCTTTTCCACCACCTTCTCCCTTCTCCTTTCGCTCCGTTCTCCCAGCTTCTCCCTTCTTCCCTTCCTCATTCTCCACAGCTTCTCCGCCTCCTCCTTCTCCACCAGCTCTCCCTCCTCTTATCCACCACGCTTCTCCCTCTCCCCTTTCTATTCTCCACCAGTTCTCCTCTCTTCTCCACCAGCTTTTCCATTCGCCCTCCCTTCCACCAGCTCTCTTTCCCCCTCTTTCCCTTCTCCTTCGTCACCAGCTTCGCCCCCTCCTCCTTTCTCACCAGCCTTCTCGCTTCCTTCCTTCTCCACCAGGCTTCTCCGCTTCTCATTCATTTCACTGCTTCTCCTACTCACCTACTAGTCTACGCTAAACTTCCTCCTCTCTCCCTCTCCCCCGGCCTACACTGCCTCTTCGCTACCCTGTACCAGAACTTTGGTATTTACACAAAACTTCAGTGTACACAACTATCGTACACAAGATGAGCCTGTCATTGGCGGGTCGGGGGCGGGCCGAGCGCGTCAGGAATTTCGCCTCCGTCAGATATTTCGCGCGACACCGGGACAACCATATTCCTGTCATAATAAAAAAACTCGATAAAGTCGCTCAATAATGGTAACAATTATAAACTAGCAAGAGCCGTGAAGGACATAACCACCGATACGGCAGCGCCATGTACGTATGTACAGTCAGAATGGCTAGCAGAGAGAGAGAGATAGCGAGTGGGGAGAGAGAATGAGAGAGAGCGAGAGAGCGAGAGAGATGAGGCGAAAGAAGAGAGGAGAGAGGAGAGAGAGAGAGAGAGAGAGAGAGAGAGAACATAGTGACGCAAACTGTGAGGTAGGTAATTTACACCCTTCGGAGTATGGGCCAGGGATTTGCTCGCTATTGGTCAAACCATTTGCGTAATCTGAAAGTACATAGAATGTATTGACTACGCACACAATCATTTTCGTAATCTAAAAGTACATACCATATATATATATAAAAGGCATTGAATTAGTTCGTATGGTATTTTAGGACGGCACAATCACACTGCTTCCGCGTTGGAGAAAAAATCTACGTTTGTGACGTTTGTTTAAACAACTTGTTCTCTTCCAGTTGCTAATGTCACTCCGATCAACGTACTCCTCGGATTCCGTTTCGTTTCCCGGATTTCATCCAAGCAATATCAAGAAACACGGTTCAATAATGGCGATGTACAGAGAAGGAATACCCAAAGAAACGGAAGACGCTGACGGTGTACCCATAAGCAATAACACAGACGGATTGCCGGACTCAGAGATGATGCGATACTCGGAGGATAGCGGGTACCAAACCGAGCCGAGCCTGTCTCTATCATCGTTAAAAAGCGACAGTAGCAGCTCAAGCGATGTCACGAGCACAATGAGCGAGAACACCATCACAGGCAGTTCGAATAGCGTAACATACAGCCACGACCAATTCGAAGATATGAATTGGAATATGAACACGAGATTTGATGACACTAGTCCGCTATTGCCGACCGAACATAACCGGGCAACGGATAATAGTTCCAGCGTGTAAGTATTGTTTAGATCAACTAGACGTAGCCACGCGGCTGTGAATTGCTATAAAAGATTGTCGTTATAATTGTAATTAAATTACTTAATTAATTGTTCAATCTTAGAATAGCAATCCAACGTATTGCAATTAAGCGATGGTTCCAAATCTAAGTAATAATTTTAACTTATATTATATATGATATATTATTTATTATATATTATATTATCCTTTCTTGCATCATTTGATGCCGTCGACAATAGGATGTTCTTCTGCTTTAGTTCCAATTGAGGACACCCGTACAAAAGCATCACTATCACCACCTTACTATTCCAACAATCCTAGTCGTAAAACGAACCCAGCCGGTAACCATAACCTATTCCTAACTCAAGCCTTACGAACTAGGAGATTCTAGTGTAGTATTGACTCTATAGTTTCTTTATGCGCGTGTTAAATAATGGTTTGAAGCGCTTATGTGAAATATTGCAGACACTCGGATAATACTCTGGAGGAAGACATAAAATGGGACTGCGCTACTGAATATGACACAGAGGAGATCGGCAACACAAAGGGCACCGGTAGACTACGAACTATTCAGCTCGCAAAACTCTTCATAATCATCGTCACGTTCGCGTTAGTGTTCAGCTGTGCGATCCTCAGCAAAGGATGCATCCTATTACTGACGGCGCAAATCGGAAAGAGCTTCAAATCATTTCCCGTGTGTGAGTCGAAGCGAATAATCGGCAAAGGGTTGGAACTACCCGATACGTATGCGGCCCGCTGGATCTGGTGCCTATACTTTACCGTGTGCTTCCCCTATACGATAGACTTCATAGAGTGCATGAGGAAAATTATCTTTCGCACAAGGATCGCCTGGCCGTCGCTTAACGCTTTCTTAATTGTAAGTACACTTTTACGTAAATAGTTGTAGCCTATAATTATATCCTACTAGCTAAGGCACATCGTGCGCATATATAAATAATAAGAGACATGTGAACGGCAATAATGTAAACATAAAGCAAAGCGATTTATTAA